GAGTCTCCTCTTCGCGCACTGCCTTACGCAGATCCGCCAGGGGGTGCGCCTGCGGCGCAGCGCGCGGAAGCGGTCGGAGTGAAGAAGCGGTTCTTAAAAAATGAGCGTCGCTTGCCGCCGCTCACTCAAGCTAAAATGCAAAAACGTGGCAAGAGCAGGGAGAAACCCCCCTCAAATCATGAAAGCTGTCCATCCGAGTTCGACAATTGACTTGCTTGTTGGCGCCTGAAGCTAATGGTGGCTAGCGGTTGTGCCTGTGTTTATGTGAAAGAAACCCGCAGGGAACGTAATTGCATGACCCTGGTTATTCAATGGGCTATGGGTTCAACAAGTACGGGCCACAAACCTAATCGTGTGCTCCCCTTTTTGCGGAATTCGGGTTTGATCATCTTCTAGAGTCTTGGAGCGACCCTGCTTTGGCAGGTACCGAAAGACCAGAAGCAAACGGGAGCCCAAACAAACGGCATAGGTCAGGTCAAACTTGCAACGGAAGCCAACATATTTGGACACATACCCGAATGAGCAGCATCCCTCCCCCTTCACTTTAGATTCTACTTGCGTGGTTGCGGGTAGAACCAAAAACTAAAATGGCCAATGAGAATCGGTTTTGGGCGCTGGGCAAGCAGGCAGTCAGGCCTGCTGAGGCGCCGCCCAGGAGGGGTGCACCACCTGGCGAGAATCGGGGGATCAGAGTGCGGGTTTCCATTGGCTCCTTGGTTGGGTTGCCCCGGCCATGTTTTTTTCGACCCGGGGCCGGGATGAACGAACTGGTTGAGTATTAGGTTGCCAAAGTGATTCAAGAAACCCAACCCTGTAGACGTCCGCGAAAAGGACTCGCACGAATGGAGATCGGTCACCAGAGAAAAACATAGAAAAAAAAAGCTAATATGAGATACATCACTGATCCTGCGCCGACCATTGGTTTTGCACGCAACCCCTTTCTAGATAGCCCCTCCCAACCAATGTCACGCGCTCAAAATCCACGCTTCAGCTGCCCTGAAGCGAGCCCCTAGTTCCTGCGGCCTTCACCTAGCCCCAGCCCCTTGCCCCCATACTCAGTCCCAACGCAATTCAGCCCAGCCTCAGCCAAACAGTTTCGCGCACTTTTGCCAACCATCACAAACGATCGCGCTAGTAAAGCCGAAGGTCACTGCAAATCGGAGCGGTAAGAAGCTCTTTTGACTTCTCGCGCAGCCTTGGCCCGCCTCAAAAGAACCGCAAGAGCAACGCGGGCTCGAGCACAGGACGCTTCGGCGCAAAGCGATTGCCAGTAGCTGGAATGAGCTGGGCTGAACATGACGGTACGGCGTCAGGGGCTCGGGGCTGAGAGTCGGGAGCTGACAAGTCACGCCCGTCCGGGAGAGACCACGCTGCTGATCGGCTGCGCGCGTTCCGTGTTTTCGCAACAGCTCTATAGCGATCAGCCCGCTTGCACCAGGTGGCAAATAATACGCCAACGTTGCCCTGCTCGACAGCGGCATTCCGTTCGTCGTAGTCAATTCAGCACCCGTGTTGTGTTGCCCTCCCCCCTTCTTCAGGAAGCACCTGGGCAAGGCAGGAAATGCAAGAACATTGCTGAGGTTCTTAAATGTTTGCTGCAGCAACTTGCACACCTTGGTTACACTTAACTTCTGCGCCTCTCTGAGTAGAAGGGGTCCATCAGGGAAGCAGACCCGTCCTTGCCCGTTTTTCCAGCGTGCTTCAGCGCCTGCTGGCTAATCTGGGACTCCTTTTTTTGTCTTGTCTGCGTTAGACCGTCGCACGCTGAACCTCCTGACCGCGCTGTCTGGCAGTCGTGCCCTGATGCGAATGGCTGCAGGCCGACGTGCCTCGGACACTCAAGTTCTCCATGCAAGCTGGCTCCTGTTTCGGGTGCCGCAACAAAGCTGCAAGAACATAAGTTAGCCTGGCAAAAGAGGGAAGATTGCTCCTGAGACCGGATCAACAACCTGACGCAAGCACCTCGTGCCTCAATCATCAAGGCGCTGACGCCAGAGGGCACGGTTGACTTGGAGGGCACGTCCCTCAAGACGTGGATCCATCTGCTGATGCGCCTCCATGTGGCCCACTACGGATTACGCCACTTCAAAGACCATCGCAACAGCGTGGGAGGCCTGCTGGCCATGCATCTTGGTATTGCTGGACCGGGGTGATGCAACAATGACGCAAAACTTTGCACGTCGTCAGCTTGCCAATTGCTTCGTCAATTCCACGCTTGCCTTTCCTTGCATGACCAGCCTTCAATTGATTGGGCTTCACTGTGTCCAACTGGGCGCCTACTTGGCGTGCGTGGCTACGGCGCTTGCCAAACCTGATTTGATCCCACGGGTCGCTTCTATGCTGCAGTACTTTCTCACGATGTCAGAAAGGCAATTGCCAGGCAAAACGCGAATGCTCCCTTGCCAACGCTCTCAGGAAAAATATTCGCGCTGTTTCTGCTTTGTCGGCATGGCCGACCTGTCTTGCTTGCACTGCTTGGGTGCGCCATTTCCATTCGTTGCACTGTTGCGGGATCGGCGGGCGGACAGCCAAGTTGCAACAAATATGTCAGCCCAACACCGCGCAAAATGCAAGCATGCGCGGCTTCGCGGTATGATAAGCGATCATACTGACACCTGCACCGAGGCTCTGATAGTCGGATCCAGTAGGTTGGAGGAATCAACACGTACAGTACAGGTCTTGCTGGATTCGCCCTTCGCACTACTTTCAGAGATCCACCGAAGGGGGAAGTTGAGTTGGACCCCTGATAATATATGTAGTCCTGTCCGGTGTGCCATCGACAAACCTCCTGTGCTCATGCTGCTCTTTTTCTGGGAACCCTTTACAATGATCATCTTAATTGCCAAGGGAGGGGTCCACGACTATCCCCAAGGCAGGTCTTTTGAGCACACACAATATCTGAAACTGAAAACGAAGCCTAGTTCTTTTCTGCGGTGGCTTAGCAATTCGTGGCTTGCTTGTGGTAAGCCAGCCACATGTGAGCCTTGTCTGTACTTCACTTGAGTGAATGGCCACACATGTTGTGCAACCCAAATATTCCAACTCACATGGTCCAAACTGAAACTGTTCCAACATCCTGCTTACCCACACTCTCCAAACCCTCAAACCGAAATTCGGTCCTAAGCCACATCTGTTTCCCACTCTAGTCCCCCCCTCACTCATTCCGTCGGAGTGAGGCATCGCTTGCTCCCAGGCGCGGGAGCCAGCAGGTGGCTGTTGGGAAAGGTCTGCACAGCGTGAGCGCCGCTCGCCATGCTGGATCGCGCCTCGCAGGCGAAAGGTTTAGGCCATCCGAGTCCGCGGAATCGTGGGGTTTGGTGTTTTTTTTCGGCTTTTTTTTTGGGGGGGGACCTGGTGCTCCTTGGAAGGGAAAATGAAGGAAAACCACAACGACAAAACGGCAAACGGCGAAAAGGTAAGCTAAGTCTGGCAGTGATACCAAAACTCTGATATGGGCATGTCTGTTTTGGGGGGTCCCTTCTTGGGCTTGGTTTGAAGCAAAGCCAAGGGAAAAACAAATCCATTTTGGGGGTCCATATCCTATTTTCAGACACCCATCTATTGAATCACACCGACTCACTTTCGGCTGCACAGTCCCTCTCTCTTGCAGGGTAAACCTAGCTGGGCTCCTCGAAACGTGTCTTGGGCTGATCCGTGCATAGAATCCCCAAAAGCAAGCCCTGACACAAGGGCCTGATGAACTACACATCATTGTCCTGCGGGCATGGCTCATGTTAGCTTGATACATTGCCACGAAGGGACCAAAAAGGGACCAAAAAGGACCAAAAAAGGGACCAAAAGGGACCAAAAATCCAAAGGGACCAAAAATCGCCAAAGCGGTTGCCAAAACGAACGGGCGCTGAGCCCCTTGTCTAGATCCAAAAGCTGGGCCAGCATGGGCAGCGCCTGACAAGCCATTGACTTGGTTCCAGGTGACCCGACCTCGGTCCTAACAAATGGGTTCTAGGATGCTACAAACGTGATTGTCTCTTTGGTGCAAGAATGAAGAAGCCTCACTAGCATCCCTCTGCACCAAGGAGTAGAGCCACTCAACTGACCTATTTTTGGACAGGCCCCACGGCGACTAGCACCCCCTGGGGTCTGGGGCTATAAGGGTGGGGCGGTGTAATCATCTTGCTGGTCCGATAGCCAGGGAATGACCCCTTGTGGTTTCCTTTAAGGGGACCCCTGGGTTCATTCCCGCATTCCCTACTGAGCACCAGCAACTCACTTAGCTAACTGCCGAACCGTGCAAGTAGAGCGCCGAGCCGCCATCTTAGCCATGCTGAACTTGGTGCTGGAAGCGAACGAGAGTCGAATGTATGCTTGAGGAGAGAGGCCTGCGGAATGGATTCAATACAGAAGATACATCAACGGGGGCACTCTTTCAAGCAAGGAACATCTGGTTGATGAACGGGGGGGGGTGTCCCTCACTACAAGGGGGGTTCATCACTTTTAGAGGGACCACCCCCCTATCAATCGGAGGGATCTATTAATCCGGGGTTGACATTTACCACAGAAACCACAGGGATGCTCTAGGTTCTTGCTCAGCTTTCTAGGATGCATGCCCAAACAGCAGGTCTCCCGCAAATCGGTGAACTGGCATGCAAGGCATGGCCACGTGCGACCAAACAAAACTACCGGCTGTGGAAGTTTGTTTCTGGTTGCTGTTGGCCCTGAGAAAAAAGCTCGTGCAACGGACCATGCACACAGAGCACCTGTTATTGAAGGCATTCCAGACCCCCAAAAAGCGCGGCCGAGCACGTCTCGCACGTCTCGCCATGGCGAAACATAGCTGCGGCTGTCTGTGAGAAAAGCAGGGGTTGGCAACCTGTTTCGGGTCCGAGAACTCCGAGAAAGAGCTAATCCCAGCGTCAACCAAAAAGCCGGATTGTCCAAAGTCTGGACAAAGCACTTAGAATCTTCAAACCAACCAGGAACTCCCAAGGAACCTTCATGGAGCTTGTGTGCCGGCCCTGCTTCTCACCTGGGCCAGCGACGGAAGGGCACAGGACGTTGGCCAGCATCAAGGGCCTGAGCATTGCGTCCCCCATGCAAATCATATGGCCGTGGGTCAAAAGCCAAATCGTACCCCCGGTGAACATCCCTAAAATAGACTAAAATGGGCGAATTCACCTACCCCAAAATGGTACCATTGGTTTTGACCCAATCGCCGACATGTGGTCCTTCAGGTGACCCTGCAACAGCCCGGCACAGTATCGCACATGAAGCCGGGTGCGGGGGAGGCATGGCCGTTGGAGGTGAAGCTAAACACCGACCTGGAGATTGCCTTATGCAACAATCTGTACAAACACAAATACGCATACCGACACCAAGCAAGCAAGCAGGCAAGCAAGCAAGCAAGCAAGCAAGCAGGCAGGCAGGCAGGCAGGCAAGCAGGCAAGCAGGCAAGGCAAGCAAACAAAATCAAAGATATATTTACAAAAGCACTAACACGTAAAACCACAAGGGGCCACTGAGGGCTGGGCAAAACCACGGGGACGTACTCCCGAAGCACCTTGGATCCAGCAAGCCCACGAATCACAAGAAGGCAAGCCGTTTGTCGCCTTTTTGGATGAAGGAAACCAAAAGAAGGCCACCCGGTTTCATGGCTAGAGTTAGGCCCAGCTATAGAACGTATATTTTGTTGGTTGCTTCACTTTGAGTCACTGGTGAAATGTAAAATGTATCCTAAGTCTACCCCAGGTTCGTGGGGGGAAGGGGGGGGGGGCGAACCAAATTCAGGGGCTCCCTGTAAAACCATCAAGTGGGCCCCAAATCGGTCGCAAAAGGCTTGTGAGAACCCAACTGACCCTAAGGTATGGATCAGCCCTACTCTATACGCCCTATGTGGCCCTCTATGGGCGTGAATTTGAATAAGTGACGCTTTGGTGGACATCATGGTGGGGATTTGTGTCCACCCCGGGAGGGTCAAGTTCACTACTGGGCTGCCTCATTACATGGAAGCCCAACCACTAAACCAACTGAAACCCAAAAAGCCTCAAAAACTAAACCCTAAAACACAAAACAAAACACAGGAACTCAACCCCAAACCAAAAAACTCAGGAACCGGATGGCTGGGAGCCACCAAGATCACAGCCCTCGGGCTCTCCCAGCCAAAGCGCGTCCACCTGGAAGAGCACGTCCTCGCGCCCCACGCGGCAGGACCTAAGCCCAGGTGCCCCAAACCAACAGAACCACGGTCTGTTTGCGAAATTGGCTCAGTCCTTTGAGGGCCCCCTGTGTGGTTTGGTGTTGCTTCTTGTGCTTTTTGGCGTGGGAAACCAACGGGACATGGGTGTGCGGTTTTGCCTTGTTGGTCCTTTTTGCTTTTATGTTTTTGGTTTGGGAAACCAAACGGAAGCTGGTGAGGCGGGCACCCTTTGCTTTGTTTGTTCTGTGGCTTTTTTTTGGTGCTTTTGGGCTTGGGAAACCCAACAAACATTGGTGAGGCGATCAACGCGACCGAAGCTTCACCCGCGAGCCGTTCTGCCCCAACAGCCTTTTCTGGGGGGGGGCCTGAACGCCGCCGGGCTCATGGACTTCCATGGGCAGATTGGGTGAAGGTGGATGACGGAAGAATGCCCCATGGACATTCCAAATGCTGGAGACCACCTTCAGGTTGTGTATTAAAGGAAGATCCAAAGAAGAAGAAAAAACAACAACCGAGACACGCTCCCGTATTCGTTTGCCCTTTACTTGCCCAAAGGGAATTGTGCCATCTGCGTTGACCCTAGGAGTCGAAATGATTTGAAGGAATTTCCAAGTACAGAGCCTTCACGCGGGAGCTTGTCTACCAGCGAAGCTTGCTATAATTCGGAAGAAGCAGGGCCCTGATTGGAGTTTGGCTAATCTTCGAAAGTTCACCTTGAAGGTTTTTCTGAATCCCACAGTATGCTAGGACGAGTTTCAAAAACTCCGGGGTCAACATGCGTATGTTGCTTATTGAGGGTAAGCATCTCTTGCTTGTGGCTTTAAACTGAGCCGAAAGATTGAAAACCCGGCCATTCAAGGTCCCTAAGACACACCCCCACATGAGCTTGAACGCCCCCTTGGGCATGAGTACTTGTGCTCGTGCTTTTCAAGGGAAACCACAAGGAAAACCACCAAATTATGCAGAACAAAATACAGTCTTTTGTGGGAGGGTGCAAGATTCAAACGCACGTGAGCGGCGGAAAAAAATGCAGAAAACATACATGCATAATATATACAGACATCTATATATATATATATGCATATATATATATATGCATATATATGTATATATATATACATGGGGGAGCTCCAACCTTCAGCCCCAAGAGCGACAGACCACTTCCAACAACCGAGGGGCGCCGCAGCCCCCAGCTGCTCCACCGTCTTCTGCGTGCGCAGGTGGCTGAGGTGCGCCGAGGTGCGGAACCTCGGGGCCGAATTCGGCGCGTCGCGACTTCGCGTCGTGTTGACCCCCCTGCACAAAGCGTGTGCCTTGATTTCGGCAGCGGGGTCAACAGCAAGTTGTTTTTGCCTTGACCCCCGCTACACTCGTCTTTAGACTTTCACTTTTTGTGGATTTAGTGGAAAACACAACTTGATTTCAACCGAGAAGTGAAAGTCTAAAGATCCAACCCAATAGCAGTCAAGACGAGCCTGGAGGGGCCAACTCTGAATTTCCTGTTGTCCGGCGTCCCGGCTGGAAAAAGACGCGGGGAGAAGGATGCCGCCCGAATCCAAAAGGATTCAGGATTGCCCTTTTTCACAACAAGAAAGGCAAGGGGGCAGGGTTCGAACACCAAGAGGGGGGGGGGAAGAGGGGAGGGGAGTTAAAAACCGTTGGGTTGCTTTGGACATTCCCCGTTAGACGGGTAGAGCCAACCTCCGCTGGCCCTGGGGCCCTGGGCCCCAGGGACCTTCGGAGCCGAGGCGCGCCATGAGCTCCAGCACGTGCGGCAGGAAGGCCTTCTCCGGGCTCAGGTAGCGGCACCCTGGCGCCGAAAAACGCGGAGCGGCGGAGCGGCGGAGCGGCGGAGCGGCGGAGCGGCGGAGCGGGCGCGACACGTGCGGGGCGGGACGGGACGAGAAATGGGCCTTTCCAAAGCTTCCCTTTTTGGCGTCCCAGAGAGAAAGAGAGAGAGAGAGAGAGAGAGAGAGAGGGGGAGAGAGAGAGAGAGCTCTCAGGGAGAGTAGAAGAAAAACACGGAGAAGGAGAAAAGCGGAGAAGGAGCAGGAGAAGGAGAAGGAGAAGGAATTGGATGGAAGGTTGAGGGGAGTGGGAAAGATGTGGGCATCCCAACGTTGTTGGTATTCTTTTGTTGCTTCGAAACACCAAAAAGGGGTCTCCCAAATTTCAGCCCGCAAAAACAATGTTTTAACAAGGCCATGAGACTTGTTGAACCCCTAACCCTTGGGTCTTTGGGAGGGAGGTCGGAGGTCCCTGGTCCTGGAGTTTGAGCAAACCAGCCATGACCGAGCAAGCTGACGAGCCGGCGCCGGCCTGTGTGGACAAAGAGGCCCAGTGAGGAGCACAGGCCCTGGCAAATAGAAAGGAAACCAAAGGCCTCCCCGCCAAAATACTGGACACTTCGAGTCGATGTTGCAACCTGCTTGTGTAGTTGGGTGGAGTCAGACATGCACAGAGGAAAAGACCTTTGTTCGGCAGGAATCCCTCTCCGGGTTGGTTGACGGACTCCGGTTTGATGTAGATGACGAATGGAACATAGCAGATTGATCCACAAAATGAGCTTCCCAAAGGTTAAAAAGCACACACGGTGGTGGCGGCTTTCCTGAAAACACGGGATCTGGTTCATCAAGGGAATGGGGATGTCCAACCTGGTTCATCAAGGGAATGGGGATGTCCAACTCGGTTTGCTTGGATTTGGAGACCCTTTGGTGGACACTATTTACATAGCGATTTACATCTGCCAACCATTTTGAGGAGTTCCACATCCGATTCATAGGGTCATACCTTTTGAACCTTGGTCCCTGCTCAACAAAAACATCTTCCTGGAATCCATGAAGACACATCTTGCAGGATTGTCCAGACCCCCTATCCACGGAGAACTGGGCTGTACAGGAAGGGCTGTCAGTTTCGCCAATTGAAAGCAAAAACCACAGTTTCCCGGAGCTCAAGCCCGAAGAACACGTTGGTTTTTCCAGAACCCCCCCCCACACTGCGTCTTTCCCCCTGTCCAAAATCCCTTTGGTACAGTCAAAAAAACAGTGGTTGGGGGGGGGGGGTGCTTGTTGCCTTGGCCATGTTTCCAAAAGGAATCCATTGGGCCTTTACCCGAATTGCGATGGCTTGGTCGTCCGGAGAGGCTTCAAATCCCCATCCAAACCCCCGAATGAGTAAACAGAAAAATCAGTAAAACACACTAGCAACACATGAAACATGAAAAAAAAAGCGCACACACACACCAAAAAAAATGTCTTCCAAAGAGGCACCACCCGACCCCCACAGAGAGCTCAGCATCGAGGGGACGGTTTTTTTCGCCTGGCGGTCCACGGCGATGATCCTGACGCCGTTCTCCAGTTGCCCGAAATGGAACTCCTCGGCGCGAAGGGCCGAAGGCCGGCCTTCTTGGGTCTTCGGCCTGCATGCCTCTCCTACCGAGCGGGGGGGAAGCAGGGAGAAGGAGGGGGGGGGCACATACTAACTGGGCTAAGACATAGCTCACGAACAAGAGGGTTTACTTCTCCTGGGGGGGGGCAGACCAACTTGGCCAAACACCCAAGTGATCCTCGAAAACCTCAGTGATGCAGGTATGTGCTCGAACCCTCAGTGCACATGGCAGCACTTTTTCTTGTCGGCTGAAAGGGTTCCAACAACACCCGCGCACTCAAAGCGCCTTTCCCCTCGTCCCCTCGTCCCCCCCCCCAGGAGCTGAGCTCCCTGCAGGGAGCGCATACACATCCTCAGATCACATGAAGGCAGGGACCCCTTTGGCAGTCATCAAATTGGTCTTTGAACCGAAAGGTGCTTTCGCTTGGCAGGTTGGTCAATTCATTGGATTATTTTTGATAAAAACCCACTGGGTGTTTTGTATATTGGGTTTAGATAAAACCCAAGGTTGGTCTTTTTGAACCCCTGCAAAAAGGTCTGACTTTTGCCGGTGAGTGGGAAACTGTCTGACAATCTAGGTCCAAGCTCAGAGCAATTGGTCCGTGTTGATCAAGAACGTCCAACTCATCATCCCACGACAAAAAAAAAACTCACAATTCCCTCAACTGTCAGTGGCTGGACAGGTGCCAAAACCACCGACCCCGAGTGGTCAGCCACTTAGCACATCGCTTCTTTCGTCGCCATTGGGGCAACATGAAACCAAATTCGGTTCGAAACCGAATGAGACTTGACAATCTATGTGGTTGGGTCTCACAAACTCCAAGTTCCATAGTTAAGAACCAAAGGCGGCCTCTTGAAGCAACTCCAAAGTCCATAAGTTTCCATAAACCCAAGATGTCCAACTCAGTCGCCCACTTTCTTGGGGGTGACCGCGGAAGGAAACCCCCCCCCCCGCGCCCCGCTCCGGCGCGCGCTTGGGCCGCGGCTCCGGCCGCCGTCGCGGCCTGCGATACCCCACCAGCCAAGATGGTTTGGTGCACAGACCCCCGTAGAAGGACTACCTTCCTCTTGGAAAAGGGCCTTTTGCGCACCATGTTAAAATTTTAGTTGGTGAGAGGGTAATACATTTGGGCGAGTTGTTTGGGAGTTGGCACCCTTTTTCGGTTTGGTGCAAAGAGAAGCCAAGAGGACCATTGTGATTTCTGAGGCACCCCATTTCTGGAAATGGATCGTCGAGGGAAAAGCACGGGAGATCAATCTGCACGAGGGCGCGGGTTCTCTTCACATTCCAAGTTCAACTGCCACGACGCAAAAGCACGTAGCGAACCTCAAAAAAGAACCAACCACCTTTGAAGCTGGTCTCATGAAACAAGATTCCATATGGCCATGGGTCAAAACCCCGTACCCCCGGTGAACATCCCAATCCCCAACTAAAATACACTAAAATGGATGGTGAATTCACCAATCCCCAAAATCAAATCCCATTGGTTTCTGACCCACAGCCATATCTGGCACCAGTAGATCGTAACTTTTGAAGGGGACCCACTGTTGGGCCGCCGCAAAATCAGGCCCAAGGCATCAACTTGCTCCTCATCCGGCGTTCAAGTGAGGTCCAATTTCCCCCCCCCCCCCCATTGACGTTACCCCAAATTCTTTGGGAATCCTAGCCCAGAGCAGCTCTGAACCACTCCGGAGCCCAGCTGTCTCAAATCATTTGGCCCCCTACCCAGAACGGTTCTCAGAATCCTTCGATCACACCCCTTCAAAGAAAAGCAAGCAAGCAAGCAAGCAAGCAAGCAAGCAAGCAAGCAAGCAAGCAAGCAAGCAAGCAAGCAAGCAAACAGACATACAGACATACAGACATACAGACATACAGACATACAGACAAACAGACATACAGACATACAGACATATAGACATACAGACATACAGACATACAGACAAACAGACAAACAGACAAACAGACAAACAGACAAACCGAACCAAAGCACAAACCAAACCAACCAACCAACCAACCAAACAAACAAACAAACAAACAAACCGAACCAAAACACCAACCAAACCAACCAACCAACCAAACCAACCAACCAAACCAACCAACCCACCAAACAAACAAACAAACAAACAAACAAACAAACAAAACCAAAACAAAACAAAAACCAAAACCAGTCGCCCCAAGCTCAGCTTGCCGCAGGCCTCGCCGGTGTCGACCGGCTCATCAAGTGGTACAGTCCGATCTCGGAACAGGCCACTGGATTCGCCAAAGCTCCATGGGTGTGTAAATGTGTTTGAGGCGTGGGTACCCTTCCTCCAACTAACATGGCATGTGGGGAGGTACCTGGAAGAGTCATTTCCTTTTGAAGACAGCCCCTGTCAGTTGCCATGTTAGTTGGAGGGAGGGTACTCTTCTTGGCGGGTGTTTTGTTGCGAAACCAAAGGGGAACAATACATTTTGTGGCCCCCAAAAAAAGACACGCCCTTGTCATACTTCCCAGCCCGCATTGGCAACAGTCACCCAACAGGTGCCGGAATTTTCCGGAATTCTTAGGTTGAGCCCCAGAACCGTCAGCCCAGGATTGGCCAAGACCGCCATAGCTGCTGATGTGGTTTCAAAACTTGCTAAAACACGAGGGAATGATGCCTACAAACCATCCCCGAGTTGGTTTCCTGTCAGGGACTCCCTTGGTTCATTCCCAACACCTTTGTCATTCCCTGAGCGCCATCAAGACAAGCACTTCTGAAAAGTGAGAAGGGTCCAGGTCAAGATGGAAAAATCACAGATGGACAAGCTCGCACCATTCTGACAAAACCCGTCCTGTGGAAAACTGGGACTGCTTTTCTCCCTTGAACGGAGATTGCACTGAAAAAAAAGACCCCGCTTTCGCATAGGAAGCGCCATGCACCTAGCTGTACTAGTATTACAAGCCAAAGCCCAAGTTCCCCACAAGTTTGCCAGAATCATCTATACTTGGAGAGCAAATGCGGGTCCTCGATTTCGGATCTTCCAATTCCAGGTTGAGGGAAGGGGAGGTCCCGAAGAAAGGTAAATGAAGACACCATGCAAAGCACAGAAACATCGCCGGGGCATGAGGAGTATATAGGGAGTGCATCATATAGCCCCCTTTGGAGGTCCACGAAAAACAATGGGTGATTGGAATAATCAGGATGTCATGGGTGCTTCTCCCTCCAGCAGGTTAGCTTCCAACTTCGGAAGGAGCCCTGCCTGTGAATTCCATTCCACTTAACATGTCTAAGCTCAAGGGAACACCAAAAAGTAGAGATATCCATTTACGAGTCATGAGCGAAAAGGCAAAACCTGGGAAAGAATTCAACCCGTACAACCATTCCTTCAGCAACTGCAGAATCCAGCGAATGAGCATGTCCCTCTGCCAATGCGGCACGCAAAAGCCAGGTAAGCAAAAAGCGAGGCCGCGGCAGGGATTCTCCTTGTCGAAGTTGGGCGCATGGCCCCCCAGGACCAGGTCCTTGGCCACGAGAAGCTGTGCGCTTGAAGAAAGTTGAGCCTCTGATCCGATCTGCTACTTTTTGTTGATACATCCACATTGTCTAATGAGACAACTCAATGCGATAGACAAACAAGATACCAAGCACTGGAGTTCGGCCCGGAAAATATGCCATCCCAGCAAACATGGAAGTGCACGGGCCTCCTTTGGAAGCCACATCCCTCTTGAGAAAGGGGCTTGTTCACTTCTGCTTTTTTGATGGCGGAAGGATATGGTTTTGTTGCTGAACTTTTAGAAGATCCTGAGCCTACCCTAGACCCCCACACTGTCGGGAATGTCTGAACGCCGCTGATGTGAAGCACCCCCCCAAAAAGGGGCGGACCTGACTGGTACCGGAAACTTCTCACACACACACACAAACAACAAATAGCCTCATAGGTCGTCCAAGCAAAGGGTTCGGGACCTACATCTCAAACTCAAGAATGTCACCATTTGAAAGGACGCCCACCTGAGGTTGTCCCAAACAAACAGGTGGATGCTCACCCCCTCAAGGGGAAACTTGCTGGTGCGAAGGGAATGAGTGAGTGAATGCCTATCAACCCCTCCCCGAGTTGGTTTCTCCTTCACTCGGGAATCCCCAGAGTCATTCCCTCATTCCCTGCTTATCGCACTGGCAAGGAAATTCCCCAGAGTCATCCCCGAAAACTCCCTGCCTCATACCACCAGCAAGTTGGAAAAATCCGGGCCACCGACTCAGGAATACCCTCACTTGCTGAGTGGATGGCCCAAAAAAAGTCCAAACTTTATATTTACCACTAAAATGGTCTTCCCGAAAAGTTTGAAGTTCATGAACTCAGGAAGTAAGTTACCACCAGGCACCCTCCATCTCAGCCCGGCGCCGGCATATCCTCCATGAGCCGGCTCTGGGGCTCCTCCACGATGGGCACCTCCAGCGAGGCTCCGCGGAGCGAGGCGCGTCTCGGTCTTCGTTTCTGGAGGGCACCGGTGTTGGATGTGTTTGTTTTCTCCTTTTTAAGGGAAGCCAACAGGAAACCAACCATCCCATGTTGGTGGCTTCCCTATTTTGAGGCAAGCGAATCTAGTGGGTTGTTTGATCCCTTGAGAAAAAATGTCAGCTTTCAGTGGGGCTGCGACCCTGCCCTCCGCCCCCACTTCATCTCTTCCGGAAAACGTGGCCGTTTTCATCAGGGCCGTCTTGCATCAGCGTCAGACTCCAACCCTTCTCCAAACCCATTCGGAGGAGCTGCTTGCGGATCCCCCTTAAACCCCAATTACCCGGCCATGCCCGCATAAAAACACCCACAGAGGTGCCCCATGCGACTCTGCAGTTGTTTTTTTTCTGGCAGGGGAGAGAGAAAATAAGGACGCAAGACCAAGGTTCCACCCCCCTTTGGTGCCATATGGCCGTGAATCAACACCAATGGTCCCGTTTTAGTCTATTTTAGTGGGGATTGGGATGTTCACTATGGATGCGGGGTTTTGACCCATAGCCATATGACGTTGTGGCCAAGTTCCATGCAAGAATTGGGGCCTCGTCCTTCTGCTAATTTGGGAATTTAGGTGCCACCCGCTTCCCCCATCCCTCCAGCCTGCCGCCAACAAACAATAGACTTAGACTAAGCTGAGCCTGCTGTCTTTGTGGAGAAAACGCGGGGGGAGAAAAGCTCCTTAGGAGGATCCCCCTAGTTTCAAGACACGCCTATTTCCCGCCCAAGCATTGCACCTAAAATCTTGACAAATAGAGTAATTCGGCGACCTGAAGGGACATGCATTGGGTGTTTGACGCAAACTCACGCCCAAATACGCGAGACACCCTTCACACGGCAACGTGAAACTGCAAAGCTTGATCCAGAGAAACCACAAGAAGTTCCAGACAAAAGTCCAAACACCAACATCCAAGAGCCCGCAAATTCCTGTGAAAGTCCCTCCTGGGAATCAGAGCGAGCAAAAGCGCCTCTATGAACTTGGGCGGCTTGAAGGAGGACACGCCCCTCGAATGACTCGAATGCGGACCCTGTTTTGGTGTCCCTTCAAACCAAGGTGGCCATGGGTCAAAACCCCGTACCCCCGATGAACATCCCAATCCCCACTACAATAAGTTCTAAAATGGGTGGTGCACCTACCCCAAGATGGGATCCCATGTGTTTTGACCCACAACCAGGTAAAAACCGCACCCTCAAACCAAAGCGCCAGGGCCGCATGTTGCTCTCCGGGTACCCTTTTTTTCTGTAGTCTATTTTAGTAGGGGAACCCTCCCCCCAAAAACGGGGTGAAAGGGCACTACTGGGGGACCTAGTCTCCCAGGTTGCCGCACCGTCCCAAAAGGATAGTCAGCCGCGAGGTTCGGGGAGTCCGAATGAATTTCGGCCGAGGCCGTCGAAGAGACCTGTCAGGTCTTTGCATAGCGGGGTTGGCTGTATTCAAAGCTAGACCTTCTCGTCACAAGCACATGGTTGTCACCCTCGGAAAGCTCACTCACTATGGGCGAATACGATTCGGGGACAAACCACCATGGTTTTCGGAACCCATCTTTCTGGTGAGCTTCCGAAAGAAGCGCAGGAGCGAGCCAAGTCGGGTTCACCAAGAACGTGCAAGGGGGCCTCGAAACTCGGAGCCCGCAAAACTCGGAGTCCGCAACACTTGGGCCGAAAACCCCAACAAGACTCCGAACTTCAGAAAGACGTGCTGCGTTGCCTTCAGGTCATGGGGCTGGTTTCGCAGAGCGAGAAGCATGGGATCTAATGCAATCCCACAAAAAGGCTGTGACATGTGGCCAACCACCCATTCCCTCAACCACTGTGCAAAAAAAGGTCATTGCCTTTGGGGGCACCGAGTCGGTCGCCAAGACCGGGAAGCCCATGGTTTTCTGTGTTGATTTGCTTTGGCAGAGTCCCCTCGTTGGCGCTCTCACCGGGTTGCTCCCATGCGACCACAGCAAAGGAAACCCGGGCAATGTTCTACCCGAACAGGGCTTGATCATATCGTGGTCCCGAACGGTCCAAACTCAAAGCAACCTTGGTTACAGCTCCCTTGGTGCCGGTGAATTCTCCGTCCATTCCCACAAGGATTCCCATAGCCCTGAATCAGAGGGGAAAGTATTTCTAACTTTGGTGCCTATCCTGTCTCAAAGTCAGCCGAGCAGCTGAACTATGCCCCTGCTCTGCCATCCTGGCAAGTCACGGAAGCGATCTGCCAGGCGGGGGTTTGCCTTTCAGGACCAAAATCCTATTCCTCTTCGCGCTTCCCTGGCTTTCTTTCACACGGAAATTGGAGTCTCAGCGGGGTCAGGTTGGTTCAATGGGAAATCTGAAGGCAACCACTGCTATTTTTCCTTGTTTTTTGGGCGAGGGGGGGGGGTCTCCCTATATTCACACGTGCCCTTTTGGCACGGAAAATCCGCTCCGGTCTGAGGGAATCGCATCTTAAATTTTCAGCTGGCCGAGCCTCCACATCTGGCCAGGCGCCGTAGCACCTCAACAGCCAACCCTCTGCGGGCCGCCGCCATCTAAGACCGGAGGGACCCACCCCTTTGCGAGCCAGACTAGGTGGCCGCGACCGGCAAAATGCACGTTTGGCAACCCCACGATTCTAGGATGCTGCCCTCGCAATATCCTCAACAACCTGCAAATTGGGCGATAACTCCAAAACCTGAAAGAAGAATTGGATCTCCAAGGAACGAATCTTTACCATGGCGAGCTCGTTTTACGCCCGAATCGGTGAGCTCGCACCAAAAAAGTGATGCAGACCATGTCTGGTTGGTGCCGGGCACCCGCACTGCACCTCTTCGCAGCAGCTGCGACATGCGGAGAGACGCTGGCGCCACAGTGACGAGTGAGGTCGCCAAAATGAGGCGCAGGTTGTGTCAAAGTGGGCAGCTGCGGAGAAGGAAACCCGGCGGTGAGTTGCTGGTTGAGGTCTCCAGTGGTCAAAAATGGCCACCCGGCGCAGCTTCTGGTTCAGCTTGTTAGCGCTCTGGTGAAAATTTGGCCATCCAATTGAGGGTCCTAAAGGCCGGCCCGTGGCGAACTCACATTCCAAACAGCCGCTGCGAATCTTCAGCTTGCTTTGGAGAACGGAAGCCCGGGGAAGCGCATTGGTCTGGCCACGGGTCTGTGAGGCTACTCAGTGGTTGGACAAGTTATGGCGTGTAGTCGTCTCTGACATGGTTCCCCCCCCTCAAACACAACCCCCAAAGCAAAAGCGATGTAACCACTAAACACCTCTTGTACGAAGACGCTATACCCCATTGTCCACTTGGCCAGGTTCGAGGGAAGTGGAAAGCATCTTCTCAGAGTTGCCCTTTGGAAAGCTCCAACTACGCTCTAATGGCTGAAGCAAAACTCTGCGACCGAAACAGCGGACAGCGTGCTGCAAGCCACCGAGCAACTTGCCCATTCTTTCCAGGAATCCTTTTCCCAAAACAAATGCAAAATGGGAGCAGCAAAAGATTTTTTTTCTCAAAACAAATGCAACATGGGAGCAGAAAAATATCCTTTTTCTCAAAACAAATGCAACATGGGATCAGAAAAAGATCCTTTTTCTCTAAACAATCACCGGAACGCTAGCCCTGACTAGGATTTGGATCTTGTCTGGGCACACAAGTCCTGCAAGGCTTGATGACTCACCCTGTTCACCCCAAAGAGTGACACCCCAAAGGGAAGGTTGTGACGTTTGACACATTGATATGGCTGTGGGTCAAAAATAGGCACCCAAAACGGAACCCTGGCAAATGCAAAACAAGGACTAAAACCTGCGGTCCCCGGGTTTAATTTTCACCCATATTTGCACAAATTGGCTTCTTGCAAATGGTCCACAAAAACCTTTACCATCAATTGTGCTTAGGGGATAGCTTGAGCAAAGGACCTTCATGTAAATGGCTCGACTCGTCGCCCTTCTGACCTTGCTCTCTGCCATTGTGCAAGTTGCAGCAAACAAATCCAACCAGAAGTTCCATCGAAATGGCGGGTTCTCGTGCGTTTCCCTTCTCATGCCTAATTCAAAACCGAGTTGGTTTGTCCTTTGGAAGCCTGGTTTCAATAATTGAACAATCAGGAACTTCTGAAAAGAGAACCTCCGATCGATCTGAGCGGCAGTCAAAATTACTTGTTTCCTCAAGAGGACATGGAATGATTGGTGAGCGCCGTGTTTTTGTGGGGGGAACTCAGAGCTCGTCCCCCCAATGCCCTCTCAAATGGATTATAGACAACTGGTAATTGTGACCAAACCTCAAATCTTGCTGGTCAGCAGGGAATGACCCCTATAGACTGTGTCCCAAAACCGGTGATAACGAGAAACAGCAAGACCAGGCCCAACCAAGTGCTTTTACCAACCTGTGGACCCGGAGATCAAGGGAGCATGCTTGGATGTTCGAGCCCGGAAAAACTCGTGACTTGTGCCAAGGAAACACAATGATTGAACATGCATCTAACTCCATGGAATTGTCTTTAATTGAAGTTCGAGTGGCTTTGTTTCTGCTGACCCCCCCGCTTCAAACAACCCGTTTTCCGCTCGAGGCCGCATGTTTTCGCGATTTTTGGGCCGAGCCTTTGCGGTCTTTGCGGGGCGGGTTCTCCCCGAGCGGCCGAGCGGCCAGGTTTGGGAGTGAGCGGAGAGCGGCGGAGAAATTGATGAAGTCTCCAAAGAACAAACCGAAAACGGTCCGAGCGAAAAAACTGAAAACTGGTGAGGGAAGTAGAAACCACAAAAGCAAGTAAGTAGCGCAATTGCTTGACCCAACATCCCCTTGACTTTTCAACACGGAAATCGTGTCGACCGACATGAAGTGCTGTGCGTGAGAAGAGTTTTGCTGCCTGCAGCAAACCATTTGACCATGGTTTGAAACCTGCGGCTTGGACTTTACAGCCCCCAATAAACAAAAAGCAACTGGTACTGCCAAAGTCCGCCGACCCCTTCTCCTCAAAGGGGGAGGCGCACGGGAAGGGTGGTTACAGCACAAGTCCAAGGTGGGTTGGTAAATGAGCATATCCGAAGATTCAACATTATCAGCGTAAGCAATACCGTCATCGTAGCATCCTTTGCACCTCAAAGATGTGTCTTTCTACACCTTTCAAGTGTGGGGTTAGAAAGCATTGGCGATGCAGAGGATGCTACGATGATAGTTATTTTCCGAGCTATTATTATCGTTGTCATCCTTATCTTTCTCCTATCTGATCAGATCTGTGTCATATACGTTTCAAGCGTGCTGTTAGACCCGGTTGGAGATGCAGAGGATGCGTAGTGATGACGATGATGATGACGATGATGACGACGATGATGATGACGATGATGATGATGATGATGACGATAATGACCACCATCATGGTGATGATGACATGGTCATCATCATCACATTATAATCGTTGTGACCTGATTGGAGATGCAGAGGATGCGTAGTCATCATTATCATCATGACTGTTGGCGATGCAGAGGATGCACGATGATGGTTATCATCGATGATGATAACGGTGATGACGACGCTGATGGGCGACGGCTGTGATGACGATCCTTATCTGTTTCATATACGATTCAAAAGTCCCGTTAGACCCAATTGGAGATGCAGAGGGTGCGTAGTCATCATTATCATCATGACTGTTGGTGATGCAGAGGATGCACGATGATGGTTATCATCGATGCTGATAACGATGATGGTTATCATCGATGATGATAACGGTGATGATGAGATTGGAGATGCAAAGGGTGCGTAGTCATCATTATCATCATTACTGTTGGTGATGCAGAGGATGCACGCGTAGTCATCAGTATCATCATGACTGTTGGTGATGCAGAGGATGCACGATCATGGTTATCATCGATGATGATGACCGTGATGATGACGATGATGGGCCACGGATCCTTATCTTTTTGATGACCGTGATGATGACGATGATGGGCCACGGCTAGGATGAGGATCCTTATCTTTTTCATATACGATTCAAAGTCCCGTTAGACCCGATTGGAGAGGCAGAGGGCGCGTAGTCATCATTATCATCATGACTGGTGGTGATGGTTATCATCGATGAGGACGCACGATGATGGTTATCATCGATAATAACAACGGTGATGATGAGATTGGAGATGCAGAGGGTGCGTAGTCATCATTATTATCATGACTGTTGGTGATGCAGAGGATGCACGCGTAGTCATCATTATCATCATGACTGTTGGTGATGCAGATGATGCACGATGATGGTTATCATCGATGATGATGACCGTGATGATGACGACGATGAGCAACGGCTATGATGAGGATCCTTATCTTTATGTTTTTCATATACGATTCAAAAGTCCCGTTAGACCCGATTGGAGATGCAGAGGGTGCGTAGTCATCATTATCATGATGACTGTTGGTGATGCAGAGGATGCACGATGATGGTTATCATCGATGATGATAACGGTGATGATGAGATTGGAGATGCAGAGGGTGCGTAGTCATCATTGTCATCATGACTGTTGGTGATGCAGAGGATGCACGCGTAGTCATCATTATCATCATGACTGTTGGTGATGCAGAGGATGCACGATGATGGTTAACATCAATGATGATGACCGTGATGATGACGATGATGGGCCACGGCTATGATGAGGATCCTTATCTTTTTGATGACCGTGATGATGACGATGATGGGCCACGGCTATGATGAGGATCCTTATCTTTTCCATATACGATTCAAAAGTCCCGTTAGACCCGATTGGAGAGGCAGAGGGCGCGTAGTCATCATTATCATCATGACTGTTGGTGACGCAGAGGATGCACGATGATGGTTATCATCGATAATAACAACGGTGATCATGACATTGGAGATGCAGAGGGTGCGTAGTCATCATTATCATCATGACTGTTGGTGATGCAGAGGATGCACGCGTAGACATCATTATCATCATGACTGTTGGTGATGCAGAGGATGCACGATGATGGTTATCATCGATGATGATGACCGTGATGATGACGATGATGAGCGACGGCTGTGATGAGGATCCTTATCTTTATGTTTTTCATATACGCTTCAAACGTCCCGTTAGACCCGATTGGAGATGCAGAGGGTGCATAGTCATCATTATCATGATGACTGTTGGTGATGCAGAGGATGCACGATGATGGTTATCATCGGTGATGAAAACGGTGATGATGAGATTGGAGATGCAGAGGGTGCGTAGTCATCATTATCATCATGACTGTTGGTGATGCAGAGGATGCACGCGTAGTCATCATTATCATCATGACTGTTGGTGATGCAGAGGATGCACGATGATGGTTATCATCGCTGATGATGACCGTGATGATGACGATGATGGGCCACGGCTATGATGAGGATCCTTATCTTTTTCATATACGATTCAAAAGTCCCGTTAGACCCGATTGGAGAGGCAGAGGGCGCGTAGTCATCATTATCATCATGACTGCTGGTGATGCAGAGGATGCACGATGATGGTTATCATTGATGAGGACGCACGATGATGGTTATCATCGATAATAACAACGGTGATGATGAGATTGGAGATGCAGTCATCATTATCATCATGACTGTTGGTGATGCAGAGGATGCACGCGTAGTCATCATTATCATC